CTACAAAATATGGTCGAAAGCTACAAATATTAGTCCCTTCAAATTCTTTCATGACCCTACGATTAAATACAGATCAAGATGAAATAAATTTTTTTAACAGTATATCTTGACCTGCCTGATAATAACATTGTAAATTGCAACAGATAAAGTGATAATTTAAGGTCATTTAAATGAATTTCTGCAGTTTCATGACACACTGATATAAAAACGTAAGTAGATCGAGCAATTACAAATAAAACACAAAATAGCAATAGAAAGAAGATAGAATGAACATGAGGAAAAAAGTGATGAATATATAGATGTACTGACAGAAAACTAATTGATAATGATTAATCTAAATTTGCTGAGATCTAAATATCTAAATATGCAGTTTAGCTGTATGACCGTATGTCTGGTACGAAAATACCACTTCTCCGCTGTACAATTAAATCACTGGTGCAAATGACGCTGGAAATTAATGCTCGTCAGACGAGTACTCACCCTTTGTACTCAATGTACTTGTACAGAAAAGCACAAAGTATGATGACGACCAATGCGTAATACCAATGCGTTGCCAGCATGATGAACAGACACAGCATCGCACCGAGCAATGACAGGCTCCAGTGGTAGAAGCGAAAGCGGGGCCGCCAGTTGGGTGCCTTTAAAATCGTCTGCAACGTGCAAACGATGTTCACGAAACAGTAGCACATCAGGAAGAAGAAATCGACTACGGGCGAGATGTAGTCGATACCGCCGATCAAGATCGCCAGCTCGGCGATGACCGTGGTGACCAGCAGCGCTCTGAACGGCTCGTTGTGCTTCGTCACCGCGCTGAACACGTTTAGGATCGGAATGATGTCGTCCTTCGCAATGGACTGCAGCAGTCGCGGAGCACCTGAACATCACAAGTTAAAGCACCACGCTTTTGAGGTGGCGAGAACAAAGAATCTGTTGCTTACTGCAGAGACACTGTAAGGCAGCCCCGAAAGTCGAAGTGAACGAACCGATCAGCAAAACCCACTTGTTCGGCCATCCGAGCAAAGCTACTACCATATCGCCGCTGAGGCTTTCTCCGTACCTAAAAATTGACTCAATTCGTTGGCGATGACATCGCTCATTTTCATACTCAACAATTTCAGTCTGACCAACATTTTTATACAATCACATACAACACACGAGAGCATTGGTCCAGTCAAAGCAAATTAAAAAATTTTAAACCAAAACACTCACAATCTTAAATTTTTTTGTCTTGCTGGTAGCCATAATTAACGAATAGTTTTACAAAATTATATATTACAAACTGAAAATCTTCATAAAATTTTCTTTCAGCTCCTCTGTACAGATTTGCAAAAAGGTAGTTGGTGTAGCACATTTAGGATTCTACGTTATTTATAGATTCTAACTTAATTTTATATTCAACCGAAATACTCTTTTACTTTTTAATATTCCAAAACCATACAACAATTAGAACCTTGGACATTACGTCAGTTAGAACATTGAAAGCTTCCTTATCTTAGCGTGGTTTTTTAAACAGGGGTCCACTGCTTGAGTTTACTGCATCTACATTTTTTGATCGATGACCAAATCTTCGGACACCCTCACAGTTTAATACCGTTCTTTACGACATGACGTCAGCTTTTTCTCGGTCTTCCCTTTCACGTTTTCTTGGATAGTATCATAGCTTGGGCTATATTTTAAACGTACTCATTGCGTCTTCTTTTCACTGGACCGAACCAAAGAAGCGGAGCCTGCTTTCAATAATCTTTTCTGTAACCGGTGCTATACCTGAAGTTCATCTTTGTAATGGAAGGTGTTCTAACTGTTTTTTGCTTACACTATAAACACATCTGAACATTCGCATTTCTACTCACTTCAGCTGTTGCCCATGTCTCTTCAGGGCAGCCAAACATTTCGCTCCGTACAGAAGCACCGGTCTAATTATCATTCTGTAAAGATGTTCTCATTGAATAGTAAACCGCTCACCCTTCTCCATACGAACCATGCTGTTTTTCACCAATTTCCTAATTCTCTGTCGTTTTTCCCACTGTTTTGAAGGATGGAACCGAGAAACTTCTATTCTTGGATTTGGGGCAGCATGCCTGCTTCCACTGATTCCCTGCTCCCTGCCTGCCCCTGCTCCCTGCCATGCTCCCTGCCTGCTTTCAGTGATTTGTTGGCTTTCTTTTTCGCTTTCCAAACGGAAATACCCCGTCATGTATTCCGGCTTACCTTTGCCGACCCGCAGGTACTTTTTCCCAAGGACTCTTCTCCATGCATTGGCTTATGCATCTACTGCCTTCCTGCCCGTTATACATTGCACAGCATCTGCACAGAGTATGGAATATTGGGCATGTTCCTGCGGAACTTCAGTTATCACGTGTCATCATCGAAAACAAAAACAGGCTTGTTGCCTGAACCCTGATAGACCCATAGCTGCAGAGAATATTCTTGTCTTGCCACATGTACTTCTGTACAACTATTGTTGTCGCTCTATCGCACATGTTTTTGGTAAGCCTAACGCATTTTTCTGGCACCAGCTTCTTTCTGATGATCAACCAAATTGTCTTCCGATGTATTCGATCACAAGCTTTCTCAAGGTTTAGAAAACCATGTGAATGTCTTTGCGGCCCTCTCTATTTTGCGTTTCAAAAACTGATCAACATTAAAGGCTACAAAGAAAATTTTCAAAAAAAACTTCCACATGTATCTCAAGACGAAACAAGTATGTGACGTGGATTCAAACGCCCAGCTATTTAATCAAATACGGAGGAACGGAATGGCAGAAAAACTCCATTCCATCATTAGCCAAATATGCGAATCCAAAAAAAATTTAGGCGCATAAAAGGGTGACTTGATTGAAAATATATTTAAGGGAGGATCCGTAACTAGGTCCTTTCAATATTACGGTGTAACATCAGTGTCAAATCTGAACTCATTTTCTTACATCATCCCAAAATGGATGATGGAGGTTGATAATGGAAATCTTCTATCAAATTACACATGCTTCCATGCCAGGTAACCTTAATCTGTGCTCTGAACATATAATCGTGAATCATTAGCAATGCCGCTGGTTCCAGTTGTTTTTGTTTACCAAATTTATAGACTTTAAACCTGCTTTGGATTCAACAGGTCACCAAATGAAATAAAAAAACTTTAAAAGACATGGCAAACCAGAGCACGTTTGCAATTAAAATCGAATGAAGGGCAATTCAAAAATTTTCTATGAGCCACGGACTATGCAAAGGAAGTAAGGTGAACTCCTACCTTTAGTATTAGTATTGTGCTATACTTTCCCTTTGATGCAATGCTGCAGGCCCTATTTTAGAACGGAGGCGCAGTTCAAGAAATAAGTTCAAATATCTATTGCAATGAACTTCGCAGATCTGCGCAGCTGTTCTGGTGAATCGAAGTGTAAGGGGGTTTCACTAGTAAAAATTTAAACGTGTAATACCAGTTTGAAAGCCAGCCTTCTCCGTAATGCACAGAAGCCAAAATAACGAAAAACCCAATCAACACAATAAACTCGAAAGTATAAGCAAGAGACGAAACTGTAGAGAAGTTTGATATACAAATTTAAAGCGTCAGTTTCATTGTCTCCAGAGATGTTTAAGCTAATTACAGTTAAATAGTAAGGACTATCTAAAAAAGTATTTTTGACACTGCAGCATACACCTCGATTTGGTTCATTACTCATTGAAGATGGATCAAGCATGATTCGAAACATGGAAGCTACTCGATTTACAACAAAATTGCTATGTATTGTCATCCTATAATGGTTTTAACGATACTGAATTACACTGCTGCTTGAAAGATTCCTTTTTAATTGTAAATGGAATGCCAAAACAATATATCGAATGCACGAATTACAAAATATACATAGAGAAGCGTTTACTTCAGAGACAACCTACTTGTCACGTAACAGTGCGCCGTGAATGGTGCCACCAAAACACAGCACGAACGAGAGGTATATGACGGAAGTCGTAATTTGTGCGGCCAACGTCCCAATGGGCAATGACCGTTGCGGGTCTTTGAGGTCGCCTTAAACAGGAAACTTCAAGTAATATAAAACCACTTCGCATATGAAACCCTTATTTTATTTTTAAATATAAAACGTAACAAAAGTTGTAGCAAAAAGCATAAATTCTTTCCCGAATCATGTTCATGTATGTTCATCAAAGTTTTTCTATGTATTTTCGGCCATCCTCAAACGACTTCATGCTAAAGATCGCTGATCTTGCATACTCTATCATTTCAGAGAGTTAACTGTATTCTCGACAACAGCACGATAGGAAAACACAGGGCATAAGGAGTATAGTCGTCCAAAGAACAAAAAGCCATCTGTCAAACATAAGATCGATGACTAACGACGAAGTCGAGTTACATGTTATGAAGCTCGATCTTGAAAAGAGCTAAAAACTCATGTAGCATACGATAGAGGGACAGATCCGTGATCATTAGAGAGTAGCAGAACCATCGACGAATTATACTTGTGGAGCGTCAGCAAAACACTGACCTCCCAGTCATGCAAAACCATAAACACTAACAAAAGATACCAACTCTGCATGGACTAGACAGGCCTTGTCAAATTTCTTACTGACATATAATTTCACTAGAACCGCAGAAGACAGGTCGATTCTGGGCTGAAAACCAACTTGCTCCTGCGGACTACCTCAACAAGAACAAAAAACCTCTACTACATATACGTCGAATGAGCTCCATCAATTAACGGTCGAAATGTTCGTCTATCAACCTATCATCAAAGACCGTTGTATCGCGTTTCGTGGAACTACAATGTTTCCCTCTAAATTTTCGATTTTATTTATCAGTTATCTATTTCTCACATAATTTTCGATTCTTTCTAATAAAACCAGGTTTGGTGTTTTGATGACGTCATTCAAGCAGTAAACATTCAGCTACATATATGGGTGATTTTGAAAACAAAAGCTGTTTTGGAACTGCCCCCTTCGTTGCCAGTTTCAAGCCCGACGGATGCAGACTGTGGCAAAGTCTCCGTAAAATGTCACCACCAACCACTCATAATATTGACGCCAATGAAAATTATACTGGCTCGATCGTCGCCCGGGTTACCAAGGGCGATGCAGGCTGTTGTGGGACTGAGACAGACTGCGAAAAGTCGGCGATCAGAACCTGCTCATCGCCCTCTGCCAGCCGAGGGCTTAGCAGCACAACAACGGCTGACGAAGACCGACGGAACGACGATGAAGATACCAGTCAGCAACGGAGTCGCTACCCGTTCTGAACGTCGGAGGCAGACAGCGCGATGCCATTATAGCACATCAAAAAAGGCACCACGAGAATGACACCACCAGTGGGGCTTAAAGTCGGAAATTGGAACATATTCTCACTCAGAGGAAAAGAAAAAGTGTCAGTAATGAGGGAATAAAGCACCAACTCGATATTGCTGGATTCTCCTCAACAAAACCTCAAGGCTTAGGAATCCTAAACCCCAGCAGGTGGAACCTATTCTACTCAGGTGTCGACATCATGACGCGCGATCAGGCCGGTGTTGGAATTCTAGAAGAACCCAACCTCGCAGATAGAATCATTGATTGGAAGTCTGTCAGCGGAAGGGTGGTAATCCTCCAACACAAGCTAACGAGCTAAAGCGCTGACCTTAGTAGAGATCTATACGCCCGATTTAGAGGAAGGATGTGATACCCTCCTTAAGTAAGTGCAGGGTGCTGTGTACGAAGTGCCCAATACATATGTCGTTGTAGAGGCTGAAATTTGGAACGGTATAGTCGTAGAAACGGTCCTAGCGACGTCAACAATAACGGCATGAAGTGTTGCGGTTTTGTGCAAACAGCGGACGGTCCATTATGAACACCTTCGAGCATCGAAGAGTAAACCAGTAAACGCGGCAACGGGAAGCTGGTGCACAGAAATCGTTGAACGATTGATAATCGTATCGTCTGACCTAAGACGCTCAGTAATCGATGTTCGTGTTAAGAGAGGCGTAGAGCTATCAACCGATCACCACCTTGTTGTTGGCACGCTGCGCTGAAAGTAATGGAGTACCATACGAAGATCTGGTGGCAGAAGCAACCGGAGAATCAAATGGGAAACATTGTCTT